CAATGTTCCTGAGTTCTCTGAAATTCTCTTTTTGGGGACAAAAGTTACAGGGCTGTATCCTTTAAATATAACACTTAGTCTAGAATTCTACAAAGAATGTTCATCAAGTCGTCAGGTAAAGAGTGATGAAGATGTTTGAAGCTTTCTTAAAGGTTAAGTCACTTGTCAAAAGGACAGTTGTTTTGTCATTGTTGTTGCTATTTTTTACTCTTTAACTTGAATGTAGCATAGTAAAAGCTGCCTAATTTTAGTATTAACTCTAGATTTTGTTTTTGCTGGCTGTCAGCTTTAGCAAAACTAACCAATTTTTACCTGAAGACATAGAATAAGATGGCAGCAATTATATTATTATTATAATTGTTGTTATTATTTAGAGTCAAAGCTCCCCCAGAGTGTCTTACTTTAGTTGCTGAGTGCTTCCCAGATCTATAAATTAGAGGTTTTCCAGCACAGGAAAAAGAAAAAAACAAAAACAAGTTGAGGATTTCTGAAGTTGAGTAATATTTACATCTAGGGCTTATAGTTCAAATTTCATCATATAAAATTATGGCTCTGCATAAAGTACACAGAAAACTGTGCGTTTCCTGTTATGAAAATAGGATTATGTCCATTAGAAGGGACCTTTGGGTCATTTAATCCTTTCATTAACCTTTGGGGTAGACTATTTTTCAGTGAAAGTTCTCTGCTCATCACATATCTTTATATAAACAGGAAAATACTCATCACAGAACATACGTAAACTTAGAAATTGCTCTTTTGGGGCCAGCGCCGTGGTATAGTGGTTCAGTTCACTTACTCTGCTTTGGCGGCCTGGGGTTCGTGGGTTCAGATCCCAGGAGCAGACCTATGCACCGCTTATCAAGCCATGCTGTGGCAGGCGTCCCACATTTAAGGGAGAAGCAGATGGGTAAGGATGTTAGCCCAGGGCCAATCTTCCTCAGCAAAAAGAGGAGGATTGGCAACAGATGTTATCAGGGCTAATCTTCCTCACCAAAGAAAACAAAGAAATTGCTCTTGCATCGATGTTGTATTTTTGTTGCATTATTGACATTTCTGGCCATAATACTGATTATAGAGAGTTCTGTTTCTGATAATAGACTAGGTAATTCCTATCCCTCCTGCAGGGAATAATTAGAGGGGAAAAAAAGACAAAATATTTGAAATATCTATTGAAAGCATCATAGAACTACAAATACAGTCAAAAAAGTAATAGTTCTAAAATCTGAGAGAAGGGACCTCAGAGAAGTAATCTGTTACTTGGGGCTGCTTTTCTCTTATGAGTGTGTGTTCAGTTCCAGAAAAAGCTGCTGAGAAAGGTGGAGAATCTAAATGGAGCTTCCAGCAGACTCACAGGGGCCCACAAAGAGGGATACTGGTGAAAAACGCCTTCCAGCCTTTGGATTGGGATGCTAACATCATCCAGAGTCTCAGTTTCTTTTTCAGTTTATCATATAAAAACAATACAAAGCCATCAGGGATATGAGGAGGCAAGGCCATATGACAGAAAATCAAGAGAAAAAAAAGCAGACAACAGAAGTGAGTCTACAAGAGATCCAGATAATAGGATTATCACACACAGATTTTAAGAAACTACGTTTTAACTGCAGATTGAGCACAGTTGAAGAGAGTATGAATGAACTGTAAGATAGATCAGAGAAAATTATCCAGACTGAATCATAGTCAAAAAATGGAAAACATGGAAAAGAATGTAAGATACCTAGGACACTTGATGAAAAGGACATGTAATTAATGTCTCAGAAAGAGGAGGAAAGAAATGAGGCAGAAGAGGTACGACTGAGAATTTTCTAAAATGAAGAAAAAACATTAACCTACAAATTCAAGAACCTTTACAATCCCAGGCAGGGATAAGAACCCATTGAAAGACATGTACAGAAATCATGGTCAAAAATGGAAACAATCCAAATGTCCATAAAGAGTAGATTAAATAGTATTTGCCGCACGATGGTACTTGACAACAGTGAAAAAGAATGAACTACTACATTGCAATGTGGATGAACCTTACAGACAAGATGTTGAGGAAACTAGGCACAAAAGAGTACATACTATATGATTTCATGTATATGAAGTTCAAGATAAGACAAAACTAACCTTTAAAGTCAGAATAAGGATGGCTTGTGGGAAAGGAGGGAAGTTATTGTGTGGGAAAGACATAAGGAAGGCTTCTGGGGTACTGGAAATTATATGTTTATATAGGTGGTAGTCATGCAAGTATATTCATTGTAAAAAAATTTCATTGAGCTATACACTTAAGATTTATAAACTTTGTGTATATATTTTAACAACCAAAAAAAACCTCACCAAGACACTGAAAGATCTTTCACCAGCAGACCAACATTAAAGAAGTACCAAAAGATTGTTCTTTAGGCAGAAGAGTTCAGATGCAGGAAAAAATGAAGAATACCTAAAAGTTAAACAGTAGATCTAGTACTTACTGGACTTTTGGGCAAATCACCTAACTTCTAGGTCCTAATTTTCCTTGCATGAAATGAGGGATTTGGACTAAAGAATCTACTAGGCCCCTTTTCCTAACGTTTATTCTGGGGATAGGGCATGGAAGAATTTGGTTGAGAGTTAACTTTAAGTTTAACCTGGAGACACTAATACCAAAGATAAAATAAAATAAAAATTTGATGAAATAAACTTTGAAATTACGAGAAATTAGATAGTTGTAGTATAAACAAAGGAAACATTTTCTTTATGTATACACCAAAGCTAAGGTGGAAAAAATTTCAGAATTTGAGCAGTATAGTTGATGCCTCACTTTCCATAATTATATATAAATATGTCCCCTTTATGGATGTCTACAAAATTTAAAAGCCAAATGTTTTTGTCTTCAGGGTTCTTATTTTTCTCATATTAATGGTAATGACAAATCTTGTAATGATTTGCTATCTTTTATTTCTGTTATTTATTAAATCTAGTTTGTTGGCCAGATGATATGCAGAGAAGTTTGATCCCCAAGTGTAACCTATGTTTATTCTGTAGATGAATATGTAATTTTTGTTTTCTTTGGAATGCTTCAGAATGCTTTTGTTTTTTTTGTGTGTGTGTGAGAAAGATCAGCCCTGAGCTAACATCTGCCAATCCTCCTCTTTTTGCTGAGGAAGACTGGCCCTGGGCTAACATCCGTGCCCATCTTGCTCTACTTTATATGGGACGCCGCCACAGCATGGCTTGACAAGCGGTGCGTCGGTGCACACCCGGGATCCGAACCGGCTAACCCCGGGCCGCCGCAGCAGAGTGCGCGCACTTAACCGCTTGCGCCGCAGGGCTGGTCCCTGCTTTTGTTTTCTAGAGGAATGGTTCAGAAGTAGGAAAATTTAACAGTAAAGATGCTTCTTCTCTGAGTAGTTGGTGATAAAAAACTTTATTGGAATATACTTCATATTTGCCACCATCTCATCTTGTGGAATGAAAGAATTTCGTTTGTTGCTTGTTCTGTTTTGTTTTTGCCTATAAGATAAAAGTATCTGGAAATAGGACAAAGAAAGTTAGAAGTAGTGGATGAGAATTTAGAAATGAAAAGAAGAGTTGTTAGTGTTGGTAGTACTGTGAGAGGCCTTTGGAGCTGTGATAGGTGGAGGAGGCCATAGGCCTCTTGCTAATGACAAAATCTATTTTTGAAGAGAGATGAAAGAATAATTCACTACTCTAGGGCATTATTTCTCAAAGTGTCACCGTCACTCCAGAGTTAGCTAGAAATCCAGAATTTAGCTAAATCCAGACTTACTGGATTTAGAATCTGTTTAAAGATTTTATTTATTTATTTTTTCCCCCCAAAGCCCCAGTAGATAGTTGTGTGTCATAGCTGCACATCCTTCTAGTTGCTGTATGTGGGACGCGGCCTCAGCATGGCCAGAGAAGCAGCGCGTCGGTGCGAGCCCGGGATCCGAACCCGGGTCGCCAGCAGTGGAGCGCGCACACTTAACCGCCAAGCCACGGGGCCGGCCCTTTAAACAAGATTCCTGTGTGATCTCATGTATGTTAAAGTTTGAGAAGCACTATTACCTGTACATAATATTGTACCGTTTTTAAGCTAACAATAATACATAATGGAGGAGTCCCTTGAGAAGTTAGGAAAGCTGAGTGAGTAATCCACCACATATATTAATGCCTATGAAATAATATATTAGAAGGCTGGGAAGTAATTGTAGAAAGAGTTACTTTAAAATGTTATGTCTAACTTATGTGTATCTCAAAGTATTTTGGAGGAAAGTGTACTGATGTCTGCACATTACTTGAAATACATAAAAGTGATGGATTAATTGTTTAGAGGAATGAGTAGATAGATGTGATAAAGCAAAAATAGTAAAAATAGTGTAGAATCTACTTCGTGGGCGTATGGGTGTTCACTGTAAAATTCTTTCAGCTTCTCTATATGGTTTAAGTTTTTCATAGTAAAATGTTGAGGAGGAAGCTGTTATGAAAATGGAATCACGTACCAGACTCTATAGTTATCTTTGTATTTGCATATTTGCTTTATTTTATAATGTATTAATACTTTCCTCTCAGATAAGAAAAAGTGGCTAATATTTTTTGCAAGTGCCCTGTGTAGCAAACATAATGCTTTACTATATGCATTATCTCATTTAGATTTCACAACACTCTGATGAGTTAAGTATCATTGCCAATTTATAGCTGAGAAAACCAAGACACAATTTAATATACTTGGACAATCTAATAAGTTCAGAAGATACATTTTGAACCTGGGGGATTTGACTTCAGGAGATGATGACTACTGCATTGCACAATTACAGGGCCACCATTTACATTGTTGGCACAATAGAGTATCATTCCCTTAGAATACAAAGTGGATAGTTCCCCTGGGATTGTGCACCAAGGCTGCCTGGCCTTAACCAGTTGCTTTCATGGCTGCCTCACTCGTCTCTTAAACTTTTGCAAAATGAAAATTTAAAATATTTTTCTGTTGTGAATTTTGAATTGTTCCATGACTTTTGTGTGTGTGTTTTATTTTTAAGATTCTTGGATCTCCCAGTCAGCATCATTTCCCCGTAATCAGAAACAGCCAGGGGTGGATTCTTTATCACCAGTGGCCTCCCTTCCTAAACAGATTTTCCAGCCTTCAGCCCAACAGCAGCCCACTAAACCAGCTAAAATCACTTGTGCAAACTGCAAAAAACCTTTACAGAAGGGACAGACAGCTTATCAACGAAAAGGATCAGCTCACCTCTTTTGTTCTACCACCTGCCTTTCCTCCTTCTCTCATAAGCGTACTCCAAAGAAGCGCAATGTAATATGTAAAAAGTAAGCTGTACCTTTCAACGTGGCTCCGTATGGTTGAATACTGGCAGTATAAATATATGTTCTGAAAGTAATCGGAGAGCTGCATAGATTCATGGGTAGAGTTGTTGTAGGGATGTTGAGTTTATTGAGCCTGAGTTATCCTAGAGTATGTCAGAGCTGTGGGCTCATTTGTACTGTACTTACTCTTGGCAGGAAAATGGAGTGTAGGTATAGAAATAAATTGACCCTCTCCCTGCTACTGCATTTGCGTCACGCTCTTTGCCATCTGTTACCTTAGTTCTATCAGGTTGCTACCAGCCTTTTTGAATGCTTCTAAAAATCATGAGAACCTGTGGCAAGGTTCTTGTGCTACGAAATATTTTTACCTCCAAATCTTCTCTTTCCTTATTATTTAGGAAGTGTTGGCAAGGAAACCAAAAAGAGGACTTTACTAGATTCAAAAAGTATAGTTGATTCCTAGGATTAAATCATGAGAAATGAAAAATGTCGATTATTGTTCATATATTTGACTTTTATTAAAATGCACTATTCTTAAATCGTGTGTCTATCACTTGTGTTTCAGAGATGCACCTACAAAAAGGGCTACTATTGTTCCTCAAGTGGAGTCAAGTGAATTCTTCCAAGAATTGTGTAGTATATCTTGTTTGTCTCCCTATGAAGACAACCAGAATCTTAGGAAAAGAGTTCTGAATAAATCAAGATGTACAATCTGTAGTAAACTAACAGAGGTCTGGATTTTTTTATCTTAAGTTATTATCTAGGCTAACAGGGATAATTTTAACTTTAAAGTGCTATTATATGCTCTGCCATCTACATAATGCGAATATCCTAAATGTACACAGTGAAGTTAAAGGGAATAAGGATGTGTTAGAACTATCTTATGAACAAATATCTCATTTGTATAGTGTAGAGAGTACACATCTCTTTCTATGGAATTGGATGTACTCGTATACAAAGCAATTGTTTTATGATGGATTTTGTTCTTACTAGCCACACTAAAATTGTAGAGTCACGACATGAAGGAAGCAACCAGTGGTACAAAAGCGTGTAGAACAAATGGGGTATGTTGATAACTTCACATTTCTTAAGTGGTACTGCCCTCTCTAGTTGCTGAAGGAAGAAGCCTGCATACAGGCTGTCCTGAATTAACACAGTCCTTGGTAACTGAATTTGGTGCTGCTTATCCCAGAGCCATGCAAATTCGGGACATGATTTTGTCTCAGTTACCACAGAGCTGAGGCAGGCAAGAACCACCCTACTTAGGTGTACATAGACACCATCCTGAATATGGGTAATTACTGATTCCCTAGCCCTTCCTACAAATTGTCTAAGGCAATGAGGTTTATAATGCCAAGAATTCCCAATCCATTTCTTTTTTTTTTAATACTTCTTTTTTTTTTTAATATTTATTTATTTAATGTGTGTGTGTGAGGAAGATCAGCCCTGAGCTAACATCTGCCAACCCTCCTTTTTGCTGAGGAAGACTGGCCTTGGGCTAACATCCGTGCCCATCTTCCTCCACTTTATATGGGGACGCCACCACAGCATGGCCTGACAATCAAAGTGTTGGTGCACGCCCAGGATCCGAACCCGAGCCACCAGCAGTGGAGCGCGCGCACTTAACCACTACGCCACTGGGCTGGCCCCCCAATCCATTTCTTTTAAGCAGGTCGTATCAAAATCTAAACCAGTTCATTTTCTGTAATTCTTGAATGTCTCTGGTGAAATTATTACCGATTTTATTGCTTTTTGTTCTGTGAATCTTATTTTCCTCTTTTTTTTTTTTGAGGAAGATTGGCCCTGAGCTAACATCTGCCAATCCTCCTCTTTTTGCTGAGGAAGACTAGACCTGGGCTAACATCCATGCCCATCGTCCTCTACTTTATATGGGACGCCGCCACAGCACGGCTTGACAAGTGGTGCGTCGGTGCGCACCCGGGATCCGAACCGGCGAACCCTGGGCCACCGCAGCGGAGCACGCACACTTAACCGCTTGCGCCTGCGGGCTGGCCCCTTATTTTCCTCTTTTGTAAAATCAAAGAATGACTTTTACAAAGAAATCAAAGATAAAAATGAAAGAATAACGAAATGTGCTTTTTAGTCTTTTTGCTGAATATTTCTTCCACTGAGAAATTACTAGAGGTTCTTTGTTTCTGTTCAAGAAACTAGTTATCTCGTTGCTTACTGTGCTAATCTGGCTCATTTAATATTAAATATTAATATTTAATACTGGTTTTTCTTTTAGATTCGTCATGAAGTCAGCGTTAATAATGTGACACACAAACTGTGCAGTAACCAGTGCTTTAATAAGTACAGGTTGGCCAATGGTCTCATAATGAATTGCTGTGAACAGTGTGGCGAGTACTTGCCCAGTAAAAGTTCTGGGAACAACATCCTGACCATTGAAGGTCAGCAGATGAGATTTTGCTGCCGAAGTTGTGTTAATGAATATAAACAGGTAATTCTTTTTAGTGACTTTTAAATGATCAAATATATAATAGCTTCTCTCTGTTAGCTTACATTAACCAGATTTATCTTAGACTCTCAATTTAGTTCCATTTTTGTCATTCTGTCATTGAGCTTTCCCATCTCGAGTGAGCATTGAAATCAATTGATTTAAGTAAGCTTGTTTCCAATTTTTACTCTATGTAGACCTTACAATGAGGAATTCTTTTCTCTACAATTTTGCACTCCCAATGACAGCTTAATAAGTTCCAGTTACTACACATTCTCACCAAAATTTGGTATTGTCTGTTTTTATTTAAGCTATTCTGATGGATATGAAATGATTTGTGTGTGTGAGAGAGGAAGATCAGCCCTGAGCTAACATCTGTTGCCAATCCTCCTCTTTTTGCTGAGGAAGACTAGCCCTGAGCTAACATCTGTGCCCATCTTCCTCCACTTTATATGGGACGCTGCCATAGCATGGCTTGACAAGTGGTGCATCGGTGCGCGCCTGGGATCCAAACCCCAGGCCACCGCAGCGGAGCGCGCACACTTAACTGCTGCGCCACTGGGCCGGCCCCTTCATTGTGGTTTTAAATTTGCATTTCCCTATAGCTGATAATTCCCTTTTCATCACCATGTATCTTCTTTTGTAAAGTATCTATTCAAGTCTTCAGCTTATTTTTTTTATTGAGTTATGTTTGTATTATTGAGTTGTAGGAATTCTTCATATATTCTGAATATATATCATTTTGTAAAATAAATGTATTCAGAATATTTTCTCTTGGACAGTGTCTTACCTTTTCATTTTCTTTTTTTTTTAATTTTTATTTATTTATTTTTTTCCCCCCAAAGCCCCAGTAGATAGTTGTATGTCATAGTTGCACAGCCTTCTAGTTGCTGTATGTGGGACACGGCCTCAGCATGGCCAGAGAAGTGGTGCGTCAGTGTGCGCCCGGGATCCGAACCCGGGCCGCCAGCAGTGGAGCACGTGCACTTAACCGCTAAGCCACAGGGCTGGCCTTCCTTTTCATTTTCTTAATGTTGTTTTTGAAAAGCCCAAGTTTTTAATTTTGATACAGTCTAATTTACTGTTTGCTTTTCTGATTGATACTTTTTTGTCTCATTTAAGGAATCTTTGCCTACCAAGATGATGAAGACATTTACCCATGTTTCTTCTAGAAGCTTTTTAGTTTTAGATTTTATATTTAAGTCTGTGATCCATCTCAAGTTAATTTTGTGTGTGGTGTGAGGTAGAGGTTAAGGAATTATCATCTACCTTATTTTAAGATGTTAAAAATCTCAAAACATCACATTGTACCCCATAAATATGTACTTGTTTTTTTTTTTTTGAGGAAGATTGGTCCTGAGCTAACATCTGTTGCCAGTCCTCCTCCGTTTTTCCTTTTTTCTCCCCAAAGCAGCAGTAGACAGCTGTATGTCATAGTTGTACATCCTGCTAGTTGTTCTGTGTGGGACTCGGCCTCAGCACGGCTTCATGAGCAGTGCGTAGGTCCGTGCCCAGGATCCGAACCGGCAAACCCCAGGCCGCCAAAGCGGAGCACGTGAACTTAACTGCTACGCCATCAGGCCGGCCCCTGTACACAATTTTTATTTATCAATTATACCTTAGTAAAGCTGGAAAAAAGACACTAAAAAGCTACAGTAATCAAGATAGTGTAGTGTTGGCATATAAAGATAAACAAATAGATCAATGGAATAGACAGTCCAGAAATAGAACCATGTATAATAGTCAATTGATTTTAGAAGGTACTAAATCATTTTAATTGGGAAAAGCAAGATCTTTTTAACAAATGGTGCTGGGATAATTTCTTGTTTGTATGGAAATACATGAGCCTTGACCCCCCTTTTATCCTATATACAAAAATTAATTCAAGATGGGTCATAAATGTAAAACTAGAAACATTCTTAACCCCTGTTTCACTGGCTACAGATTTAAGTAGTTAGCTTTTAGGGAAAAGTAACTCTTGAGGTGCTAGCCTTATTGAACAGTTGAAGAAACAGTGATACCCACAGTTCACTTTAAGGTTTTGCAGGAAAGGCTTATTTATGTTATCTTTATTATTTTCTTTATATATACTGCACCTCATATTTAACAAAGCCTTTGGATGTGGCTTATAGAAGAGTACAATGAACAGTTAAAAAATAGGCAAAAAGACTTAGCATAGGGTATCTTTTCAAAAGAGTCATGGCAAATATAACCTAGTGAACGTCTGATTTGGTAATAAATGACTGTTAGGTCTTAATATTTTTACATGTCTTTTTTTATGGATGATTTACCTATATCTGCTTAGACTGTGAGTTTTTGCTAAGTTAAAGTCAGTGAGCTCATAAACTTTAGACAAAGATAATGCTTATCTCTGAAAACCATAAAACTTGCACATAGATTATCAGTTTTTACTCCTAAATGAACACCAGAAGAGGCAAAAATGGGAAAATATGCATAGTCACAATAGGCAGCAACCATATATCCAGACTTTCTTGAATACCTGTTGTCTGCCACTCTGATCTCCAGAAGAAAGTCTGTTTATTCTACCATGTGTATATCAGTAATACAAAGTAGCTCATAAATAAAAGCTCATAGTTGGCAAATATAGGAATATTTCCGTATGATATAGAAGTTTTACAAATGTACTTCTTCCCCCCCCACACACATTAATATTTTTAAGTGATTAGTGGCAGGCCTTCTCACAATAGAAAGCCTTAGTGATATATGAAGACCTTAAGGAAAAGTTGAAATCTTGCAGTTAGTGTCTTATCTCAGAATAGCATACACAGTCATAAAATGTAAAGACTAAATCTTAGTCTTATCCAGTGACCTAACCAGAGGTGTTTTTGCCCCCCTGGGAACATTGGGCAATGTCTGTAAACATTAACTGGGGGAGTGCTGCTGGCATCTAGTGCTTAAGGGCCAGGGATGCTTCTAAGCATCCTGCAGTGCACAGGACAGTCCCTCACAACAAAGAGTTATCTGGCCCAAGATGTCAGTAGTGCCAAAGTTGAGAACTCTTATAACCAAAGGGATAAGTAGGTGGCTGGATGGTTGAGTGTGTGTGGTAAACATAGTGAGAAGGAAAAGAACTAAATTTTCATCTTTGTTATTGAGAAGTCAATGGTGATGCCTAAAACTGGGAGGAAAAATCAATAAATAGTGATGTATAAACATGTTAGTTTGATATTTAGAAATAAACGCCAGAAGAATTGGCTAAAAGTGTTGAAAGTGGTTAACTTCTCAGAAAGGGGAAATGGATGAAGGTAGTAGGGGGCTGCTATTTGTTTTAATTAATCAGGTATAACTAGTTGTTGCTTTATACCAAATGTATATTTAGTTTTGATTAAATAAAACCTTTAAAATACGTTAAAAATACTGAAGGTCAGAGAAAGTATCTTACCCAGAGTCACACAGCTAGATTTGACCTCACATCTGAAACTTTATTAGTATACTGTAATGCCTCTGCTATAAATATTTAATTAATTATACCTGTGCCTTATCTCACATAATAAGCTCTTGGTTCCCTGGGGCTGGGATCTATATCTGATTCAATTTAGTAATCTCCAAATAACTAGCCTTATATGTGGGGTGACTCAGCCACCTAGCTGGGACACTTCTGAGAGTGAAATGAGATTCTGTTAGTAAATATAGGGCTATCTTAGTACCTTTCTTTCCAGTAATTTTTTTTTCCCGTTTTTTAGAGGCTTTAGTTGATTGTGGCCTACCTCACCTGCCTTTTATTTGGCTTCAGTTTTCATTCAGGTCATCATTAAAATGTTCATTGTGCTAGAATAATGTAGTACTGCCCTAAAGTATTTTTGAACTTCATTTTCAAAGAATCTCAGATGAATGTCCCTGGAGAGAGTGCCTGAGTGACATGGATGAGAAAGACAAGCAGCTAACCTTGGAACCTAGAGTATAATGCAGAAAATCCGTGAGCCTTTGCACCAAGGAGTAGCTGGGTCAACCACCTTTGTGTTCAGTTCTTTGCTGTTAGACCATATTCAGTAATTGTCAAACAATTACAAGTATCCTTGATTGAATGTATGCCAATAATAAAGCTAACATAAGTTTACTATGGTGCCACATACAGCTTTACATGTATTTTGCATTTAATCATCTAAACAATCTCCTTTTGTTGTTAGTGCCTCCAAGTCTATTCTGACTCTTAGTGAACCTGGACAGCAGAGGAGAACCCTGCCTCCGTCTTTTTGCACCGTCCTCTCACCTTCTGGTGCTGTATCAGACAATGCTCTGCTCCTATTCATAGTGTTTTCAATGGCCAGTTTTTTCGGGAGTGGGTGCCCAGGTCATTCTTCCTTGTCTGTCTAGTCTGGAAGCTCCACAGAAACCTGTCCACCATGGGTGACCCTGCTGGTATTTGAAATACCAGTGGCATAGCTTGCGGTGTCACAGCAACACGCACCTGCCACAGTATGACAATCGACAGATGGGTGGTATAGTTCCCTGAATGGGAAATGAACCCAGGCCAAGACAGTGAGAGCACCAAATCTTAACCACTACCCCACCAGGGCTGGCTAAACAAGCTCCCTAGTTAGGTGCAATTAATATCCTCATTTATTGCTGAGAAACTGAAACTTAGGTAAGTAACTTTCCCAAGATCATACCGTTGGGAAGTGGCCCATCCATTGAGATGGATGAGACAACTTGACTACCTATTCATTACCAAGAAACTCAGGAAGGAAAGATAAGACCATAGCAAAAAATAACACTAACTACAGTCCTTGGCTTTCTCTTTCTTTTTATATCTGCTCTTCTAGTACAGTCTTATCCAATCCCATAGTCTTAATTAATATATTTTTTGATGACCTCCAAAATATATTTGCAGATCATATTTCTTCAGTTTCAGACCAATATATCCATGTATAATCTCTACTCGAATGTTGCACAGATACTTCATACTCTGTGTCTAGAACTAGAACTCTAAACCTGCTTTCCTTCTTTGTTCATATCAGTAAATGATCCCACCGTGCAGAAGCTTAGGACCGTTCTTGACTCTTCCCTTTTCCTTAGTCCCAAGACCACTCAGTTACCAACTAATCCATATTCTACTTCCTGGATATCTCTCAACTCTGTTCTGTCTCTGCTCCTCTCATTCTAGACATAGCCACCATCATCTCTTGCCAGATTTGATTACTACCACAGCTTCCTGTTACTGTACCTTTGGTCTCCCTTACAGTTGGAAATCCATAATATAATCAGAGCAACCTTAGTAAAGTACAAATTTGACCATGTCACTCCTGCTTTTTTTACTTCAGTGCTGCCACATTGCTTTCAGGGTTAAATCAGAACAAAGCTCTTCTGGGCCGGCCCTGTGGCTTGGTGGTTAAGTGCGCGCGCTGCAATGCTGGTGGCCCGGGTTCGGATCCCGGGTGCGCATCGAGGCACCACTTCTCCGTCCATCCTGAGGCCGAGTCCCACATACAGCAACTAGAAGGATGTGCAGCTATGACATACAACTATCTACTGGGGCTTTGGGGGGAAAAAATTAAATAAATAAAATCTAAAAAAAAAAAAAAAGAACAAAGCTCTTCTGGGGCCGGCCCGGTGGCGCAAGCGGTTGAGTGCGTGTGCTCCGCTGCGGCGGCCCCAGGGTTCGCTGGTTCGGATCCGGGGCGTGCACCGCCTCACGGCTTGTCAGGCCATGCTGTGGCGGCGTCCCATATAAAGTGGAGGAAGATGGACACGGATGTTAGCCCAGGGCCAGTCTTCCTAAGCAAAAAAGAGGAGGATTGGCAGATGTTAGCTCAGGGCTGATCTTCCTCACAAAAAATAAATAAATAAATAAATAACAAAGCTCTTCTTAGTTTCTTAAGTTCCATTGTATATAGTATTTAAGTTGCGCTGTGTACAGAAATATTACAGCTAACAGGATGCCATTCACATTGTATACATCTTGGTTATGTTGAATGTTTTTTTTGCATTTTTAGTTTATTGACTCCAAAATAGCTAATGTCTTTTTATCACATGGAATCATACAGTATGTGGTACTTTGTCAGTGGCTTTCACATACACTGTTTTCAAGTTGTAGCATATATCTTTACTTGTTATTGCCAAATAATATTCCATGGTATGGATAATACTGCATTTTTATTTATCCATCAGTAATGGACATTTGAATTATTTCTGCTTTTTGGCTATTATGAATAATGTTGCTATGACATTTTGTACAAGTCTTTGTGTGGACATATATTTTCATTTTGGCATTGCTGGGTCATATGGTAACTCTGTTTAACTTTTGAGGAATTGCCAGATTGTTTTCCAAGGCAGCTGCACCATTTTACATTCCCACCAGCACCGTAGGAAGCTTTTAGTTTTTCCACATCTTTGTCCACTTGTCATTATCTATCTTTTTATTATAGCCATCCTAGTGAGTGTGAAGTGGTATGTGGTGGTTTTGATTTGATTTGTATTTCTTTGATGACTAATGTTGAGCACCTTTTCGTGTGCTTATTGTGCATTTTGTATATACATTAATTTTCTTAGTGTTAACCATTCCAAGATAAATTTGTAATCTCTTGCTCCCCAGATGATGGAAACAAAATTGAAAAAGTTACCAGCATCAGAAAACAGAAAAAGGAATGCTGTTACAGAAAATGAAAGAAAATTATATGGATCGTTGAATACAATTTTGGAAAAAATAGAGGGAATACCAGAGAAAAAGGAAAAGACTTTAGATCTACAGGTTTCAGCAGAATGTAGCACAGATACATCACTGATCAAACAGGATGTGAATTTACCTTCTTTTATGTCAACCATAGCTGATAAATTTCAAGAGCAACTGGAAGAGAAAAAATCAGAGGACTCCATTATACCAGCTGTGCTTTCTGCAGATCCAGGTACATGGCCTCGCACTTTGAATATTAAACAACGGGACACTCTTGTTGAAAATGATCCACCTCAAGTAAGAAATTTTAACTTTCCGAAAGACAATACAGGGAGAAAATTTTCAGAAACTTATTATACACGAATTCTTCCAAATGGTGAAAAAACCACTAGATCCTGGTTACTTTATTCAACCTCGAAGGATTCTGTGTTTTGTCTATATTGCAAACTCTTTGGGGAAGGAAAAAATCAACTGAAGAATGAGAATGGGTGCAAAGATTGGCAGCATTTATCACATATTCTTAGCAAACATGAAGAAAGTGAAATGCACATCAACAATAGTGTTAAGTATTCAAAATTAAAATCTGATTTGAAAAAAAATAAAACTGTTGAAACTGCAGAACACAGATTACAAGAGAATGAGAAAAATGATGGTGTACTATTGTTATACACATAGTATACCTGATTTGGTTTTTGACATGACAGTCTTACAGTTACTCAGGAAAGATCTGTACCCTAACAGTACCATTTGTGTTGTGAGGCTCCTATACAGAATAACTTGCAACAGCTCATTAGCAATAAGTATAATAGTAAAGAATGTTGCTGTTTCAAATTCTGAAGCTAATTGGATTTAATAGTAATTAATGCCTATTTCGATAAAGGCAATTATTAATTTTTTCAATCTGCCGGTTCACTCCTTTTTAAATTGGTATTTGAGGACTGACATTTGACAGATTTGGTTAATTTTCTGTTCTGATTACCTTGAAAGAGGAAGAGAAAGGCGTAAATTTATCAATACCAGTTTGAACAAGATACTTATGTGAACAACCATTCTCATCATTATTGTTATTAAAGTAAAAACATTCAGAAACAGTTTAAGAACAGAATGGGGTCTGAAATTTTTTGCTATTAAACCAAATATTTGTGATTTATTTCTTTTGAGCAAAACATTGTTTGTTATTTGAGCAAAACAGCATCTTTGTTACATTAAAGTGGTTAATTTGCATTTTATTGGTTTTTTAATTTAACTTGTAAATGTTTTAGCTTTTATTGTTATGTGAGAACTGTAAGCATAACGAGTGTATACCTATTTTTATGTTGGTACAAATATAAGAAATATTAAAAATAAATTAATCTTTAGATATCATATTTTTTTCCCTCTGAAGGAGACTGCATGCTTAAAATTTGAGAAATACACTAATGAAAATTAAAGAGCTCAGTTTTTTCAGATGGCCAATCAGTGTTCGCATCACTATGTATTAGTAATTCTCCCTTTTGTTTCTGATTTCTGATACCCATTTTATCATATATTAAATTCTTAATGTGTACTCAGGTTTGTCTCAAGGCTTTTCCTATGAAGCAAAATGTCATATGAACAATGACTAGAACAACATGCATTCTTCTTGGGGCCAGCCCAGTGGTGCAGCAGTTAAGTTTGCACATTCCGTTTTGGCAGCCCGGGGTTTGCCAGTTCAGATCATGGGTGTGGACCTACTCACTGCTCATCAAGCCATGCTGAGGTGGTGTCCCACATAGAAGAACTAGAAGGACCTACAACTCAGATATATAACTATATACTGGGGCTTTGGGGAGAAAAAAAATGATTAAAAAAAAAAAAGATGCATTGTCCTTGGTGAGGCTGACACTAGGAGTACTTGCAGATTGTCAGTGATGCCAGTGCATAAAACTTTTTGGAACCCTCAGGAAAAGCATTCTCCCGAGTCGATAACCATTTTGTTTTCTGACAACTGGATCATTTCAGTCTTTCAGACTTAGATCTATCAGAATGAGGCTTTGGGGTGTTTTCAAAAATCCAGTCTACTCTTAGAGGCCTAAGAGGATACTCTAGAGAATAGAACACAGATTCTGAAGTTCCTTTGCAGATGGTTAGTGTGCCCATTCTTTCATTAAAGCTTACCAATTCATTGAATGACAGATTTGTTATATGATTATGTTAGATAGACTCATGGGTATCTGAGCAAACTACTGAAACCAACCAGTGGCTACTTAAGAAAATTTGATAAAAACATCAAATTTATCCATTGAGAAAACAAAATTAGATCCTCACCTTTAAATTCTTTTATTTCTTCAACATACTGCACACCTATAATGCACCATAAACTCTTCATATAGTAATGAGTTAAATGTGAAATTCAAAAGATTATGTACTGGGTTTATCTGTGTTCACTGTAAATTTCAACTTTTTGAAATTTTTAGGAAGTTTTTCATAATGAAATGTTGAAGGAAAAAACTAAATTCAGACGATAAAAATAAATATCTATTCAGGGAAAAAATTCAAGTTTTTTTTTTTTTTCCTTATCTAGTTCTTTTTTTTACATTGTAAAATTACTCTGCTCCTGGTAAAGAAGGAAGGAAGAAAACAAGAGTAAGAAATGCAAGTTCTGGGGCCAGCCCGGTGGCTTAGCGGTTAAGTGCGCGCGCTCCACTACTGGCGGCCCGGGTTCAGATCCGGGTGCGCACCGACGCACCGCTTCTCCGGCCATGCTGAGGCCACGTCCCACATACAGCAACTAGAAGGATGTGCAGCTATGACATACAACTATCTACTGGGGCTTTGGGGAAAAAAAGGAGGAGGATTGGCGATAGATGTTAGCTCAGAGCCGGTCTTCCTCAGCAAAAAGAGGAGGATTAGCATGGATGTTAGCTCAGGGCTGATCTTCCTCACCAAAAAAAAGAAAAATCTATGGCAAACTATTAGAATTAATAAGAGAATTTAATAAGGAAGTTAGCTGCCAGGCCAATATCTTAAAAAAGTTGTATTTCTATATATTAGCAATAAACAATTAGAAAATTAAGTTAAATGTTGTTTACAATAGTATGAAAAAATCAAATACATAGGGCCGGCTCCATGGCTTAGCGGTTAAGTGCGCGCGCTCTGATGCTGGCGGCCCGGGTTTGGATCCCGGGCGCGCCCCAAGGCACCACTTCTCCGTCCAGCGCGAGGCCGAGTCCCACGTACAGCAACTAGAAGGATGTGAACCTATGACATACAACTATCTGCTGGGGCTTTGGGGGGAAAAAAATTAATAAATAAAATCTTAAAAAAAAAAAAAAAATCAAATACATAGGAATAATCTAGTAAAAGAGATGCACAGTCTCTACACAGGCGCCTATAAATTAAAGAAAACCTGAATATGTAACCATTTTCTAGACTGGAAGACGTGATATTAACATAAAGATGTCAGTTCTCTCCACACTGATACAGATTCAACACAATTTAAATTTAAATTTTATAATTTAATTTTTTTAATCAAAGCATAGAAATAGAACCAGAATAGTTCTGTTGTCTTTAATTTCCAATGTTTCATCTTTGTTATTTTGGCCTTTGAGTATGGTAGAAACAATAGTTAAATAAATTAGGTTAACAAAAGAAAAATAGAGGGAAAACATGGAGAGCAAAGTTTGTGAAATGATAGTAATAGTCTAAATTTTTATAGGAGTTTGAGTTATTCAGGTTTATGCATTTGTCAAAAGTCATCAAATGTATATTTAAAATATGTGCATTTCATTATATATAAATTTTACCTCAAAGGAAAAAAATATAGTAAATAAATACTGACCTGAACGCTCGTTAATGTTATGCATCCTGAAGTGTTTAGGGGAAAGTGTATTGATTTATGCAGTTTACTTTGGAATGCATCAAAAAGTAAGATGGAGAGAGATGTGGTAACACAAGTATAGAAATATGTTAATGGTAGACCCAGGTGGTGGGTATACAAAGTTCACTGTAAAAATCTTTCAACTGACAAGGATTCTCTCCTTGACCAAACTCTAGCCAGGCTCTTCCAGAGCCCTTTCTTGACTTGGCCTCAACCTTGGCCTAAAAAGACTTGAGCAAATATTGACATTGTTTCTAACAGCTCAAGGCTGCATCCCTAGGATGACAATTACCCCCCTAAAGTGCCTGCCCAAGAAAACTCGAGGCTGCCAAAAACATTTACTGTTTGTCCCAGCCAGCACCTGAAGAAAGGGTCCCAGTCCCCCAGTCTCCGTGGAGGGAGGAGCCTAACTCGGGAAGTGCCAGTTAGCAAACCCAGATGGGTTTCACATGGACTGACCTCCTTTCCTGCTTTCTGTAATTTTTCACTTCCCTAACTCTACTGAGACCCGACTCACCCCCTCCCTATTCCCTCATTCTTCCTCTGCAAAATCGAAGTTGAGTGCAGTCCACACCAGCTGGACTCTTTTCCCTATGGCAATAGTTATTACTGATTAAAATCTGTCCTTGCCACTGTAACTAATGTCTGACTTTGTTTATCTTTGACACAACTTTTTTGTATGTTTGAAATTTTTATAATAAAACTGGAGGAAAAATAAAAACAAAAGAACAAAGAAATAGACACCTGTCAGCTGTGTCAGAGTAACTGAAATTAGGCTCACCCTCCACCATAAACAAAGAGAGAACTAGTTTTGTATGTGAAATACCTGTCTTCATACATTGAGCACCAAGCAGCACAGGGCTGGGATGCAGAGACAAGGGAAACAGGCCTCCTACCTGAGAACTCTTTCAGGCTGTGGTATAGGGAGGGTAGTAATGTAGTATGTAGACTACAGCAAACTTGCTGAGTTGAGGGAACAGAAAAAGGATTCAGGGCAGCTGAGGAAGCTACAATTTCTGGGGCAGAATACCAGACAGGAGGGAGCTAGGCAATGAAAGAGCTGCAGAAATCTGGATAGGGGTCCCCTTGAGTCTTTGGCTAAATACTAAGCTGCACACGCATAGGGTGAAACTCGAGAACACCAGGCAAAAAAATCACCTGATTTTATTCACTATCCTGATTGGATAATGAAGATGTGGTATATATACACCATGGACTACTACTCAGCCATAAAAAAAGACAAAATCATCCCATTTGCAACAACATGGATGGACCTGGAGGGTATTATGTTCAGCAAAATAAGGCAGAAAGAGAAAGACAAACACTGTATGACTTCACTCATATGTGGAAGATAAACCAACACACAGATAGAACTGTTTGGTGGTTACCAGGGGCAAGGGGTGTGTGGGGTGGGCACAAGAGGTGGAGAGATGCATGTATATGGTGACAGACAAACAATAATGTACCACAAAAATTTCACATTAAAAAAAAATAATAATGCTGGTATGAACATGGGTGTACAAATATCTCTGAGACTCTGCTTTCGCTTTGGGGTTATATACCCATAAGTGGAACTGCTTGATCATATGGTAATTCTCTCTTCTAATTTTTTGAGGAACTGCTATACTGTTTTCCATAGTGACTGCACCATTTTACATTCCCTCTAGGAAGGCACATGGGTTCCAATTTCCTCATTTTCACCAACACTTATTATGTTCTGTAGTATGTGTGTGTGTGTGTGATAATAACCACCTTAGAGGATATGAAGTGGTATCTCATTGTGGTTCTGATTTGCATTTCCCTAATGATTAGTGACAGTTGAGCATCTTTTCATGTGCTTATTGGCTATTTGCATATCTTCTTTAGAAAAACATATATTCAAATCCTTTGCTTATTTTTGGGCAAAAATTGCCCATTTGGGTTGTTTTTTTGTTGTTGAGTTTTAGGAGTTCATTAGATATTCTGGATATTAATCCCTTATCAGATAAATGATTTACAAATATTTTCTCTAATTTTGTGGATTGCCTTTTCACTTCCTTTTTTTGTGTGTGTGAGGAAGATCTGTCCTGAGCTAACATCCATGCCAATCCTCCTCTTTTTGCTGAGGAAGACTGGCCCTGAGCTAACATCTGTGCCCATCTTCCTCCACTTTATATGGGACGCCACCACAGCATGGCCCGACAAGCAGTGCATCGGTGTGTGCCGGGATCCGAACCGGGGCCACCAGCAGCAGAGTGTGCACACTTAACCACTATGCCACAGGGGCCAGCC